ACAAATAGCATATAAAATAACCCGTAGCAGATCTATACAGGTGGAGCTGGGGAAGGTGGAGGGTTTCAGAGAAACTCTGAACGCACGCTGCAGGAATCTCTAATGAATGCTAGCCAGCCATATAAATGCAAGGCAGTAAGCTCATTGGCTGCATATGCAGCATGAACCAATCAGCTTGTGCCAAGTCGTTTAACTCTCTGAATATAATCGGTTACGTTAACAACCCGTCGCCTGCGCCATCTAGAGTTTCATGACTGAAATATATTTATTCAGCATGTAAAAAACACTTGTAAAATGTAATTTTTTGCCGTGAACAGCCTAAAAGTTATTTATTTATTTATTTTATTATTATTATATATATATAGATATATATATATATATATATATATTTTTTTTTTTTTATTAAAAAAATGAAAAACTTTTAACTTTTTCCCCCCTTTTTTTCTTTGCCTCCACTTGCATAACCAAACAATAAACCTTAAAAAGGTGCATAAATGAGTGAAGGATTTTGACACTGGCACAGAATAGCATCTAACTAAATGCCTCAGTTCTGTGCAACTTGTTTCTTGTTGTTTAGCAGATGCTTTTTAACCAAAATGACACATATGCTGATTGCAGGGACGGTCCCTCTGGAGCAGCACACTTTCTTTCACAGGAACAGAGATGGGAGGAGGGGATCTCAGCGACTTTACAGTTCTTAGATTGAATTCTTATCTGTATTCAAATCTGTAACATTTACATTGACAGCGTACTGAGATTCTCTGACTTATCAGCCTGCATCAACATTTGAATCAGAAAACATGTCAAAAAATGAATGTAGCATTGACCTTGATCAGTGTTCTGTCCTTTAAGGTCATGCATAACCCCTTTTACATCACACTGACAGCTTTCGATGATGATCCAATAAGTGAATGTAGGAACGGCTTTGGGTATTTACACAAAAGCAGAACTTTGGACAATTGAGTGCCTTTGTCATCAGCGACGTTAGTTCTGCTACAGACGCTCTGTTCTATTGTGTACGCCTGCTGAGTTCTGCTGCACATGACGTGCGTTGTAATAATACCCTGCAAAAAAAGTACCCAACAAACTTGCCTTTGTCACCACGTTTTAAAATTTCCACAGAATTACTACAGTTACAGAATGAAGCACATTGAAGCATAAGGTTGATGCAGTGCTGCAGTTTGAACAGTTGCACCTCTGGCTCTTGCCCTTGTGCATGATTATGAAATGGTGAGGTCTGCTCACATTGTGGTAAATGGTGAGTATTTATTAGAACTAGAGAATGTTGTTTACTGAGCAGCTTGTTATGTGTGAGCTGGTGCCTTGCAAGAGGGTTTTTGTGGTTATGCTAATCTGTTTCCTTTTGTTCTGTTTTATTTTCGCATCTGCATCTTTCTTTCACTTTAGTAAAAGTCACCCTGGGTCAGGTGGAAAACACTTTTTGGCTGTAAGAGAAGATTCAAAAAACATTCCTGTCAAGGATAATGTAATTTCTAATACATATAATTAGAGAAATAAAACCGTAAGGCTTTCATAAAATAGTTTTTTGACTTTATCTGTTCACATTTAATACACATAATGTGGTAATTCAGAAACCAATCTAATTTGACCAGATATGATCAGCAATCTGTAACTGTCAAGGTGAACTTCCTTTAAACTTAACAACCAGCACTTCCTGTTTGTGTATGCATATGCTGGTGGCTAGGCCCACACAGAAACTTCATCTGCAAAAATGCCACCGATTTCTGTAAAATTGGGCCTTCTGTGAGTTCTAAAATGATCAAATCCACTTTCCTTTTGTGCATGTTTATTAAATATTTTCCTAATTTGATTATCCTTTCAGATACTAATAAAAGTGTAGTGCTCTCATTTTCAAATAACATATTTTATCATGTCCATTAAATCCATTGTGCACAATTTTGTAGATTTTTCATCAAAATTAGTAAACAGCAAATTCTGTCTGGGCCTAGCAATGACACATGACAATGCCATTACATGATTTTTGCAAAAATTAAATTAAATTAAATTAAACTTTAAACTAAATTAAATTTTAAATTAAATTATTTATTTATTACTTATTTAACAAATAATTTGTATAGTTCTATAGTTAAGAGTTCTGAATATAAGTAATTATATTTATAAAAAATTACCCTGTTGAAAAAAACAGCATATGACGGTTCGGTATGTTTTGAAGCATGGCAGCTGGTTTGAGCTGGTTTAAGATGGTTATAAACTGGTCCTGAGCAGGAAATAGTTGCTTAGCACCAGCTTAGGACCAGCACGTGATCAGCTTATAACCATCAGGACCAGCTTAAACCAGCTCAAACCAGCTGACATTCTTCAAAACATACCTAACCAGCATATGCTGTTTTTTTCAGTATGGTACTGTTGGAGCTGTAGTGCAGTGGAAGGTTTTTGCGTGATATTTTGGTTAAAGGGAAAGTAAATCTGTGCCTGGCATTTTGGCATGAGGATTGATTATCTGGAAGAATAAGTGTAAAAGTTCTAAAGTTTCAATGAGAATGATTGTCCAGTTCTAATTCTTGATCCTCTCTCAACTATCCTACTATTACAGAACTCAGTCACAGCACTTTTTAAAGACACAAAACACTGAACATTTGCCTCTAGGGTATGATAACAAGCTCAGTATACTCTCAGATACTGAAGAAAGTCTTCCTCTCCATTTGTCAGTTTGTGAGTTGCTCTAGTTTTCAGGTTAGATTTCCTAATGTGTTTTTGTCCTGCTGAGTTGAAGATGTACAGCTTGTTATTTGCAGCCTGACGGGCAGTAGCAGCTCTGCTGCCTGGGTGGCTGATTATCTGGGTGGCAGGCAGCAAGCCATTTAAACTTGTGCTTGTCCTGATTGTGGCTGTCCTATATTCTCTCTTTTTGGAGTTTTCTACAGTATTTCAGTTTGGTAGATGGTTCTTATGTGTTAAATGTGGGGTTAAGTGTTTTACTAACTTTCTTCCTTCACTAAAATTCTTTATTTTGTGCAAATGCTGTGGCATAATCACTTTAATTGATGATCATGTTGCATTAAAATTCATTTTAATTGATAAGATGTATTACTAACAAAACTGAGTGTTGTAGACTAAAACCTAAAAATGTGTCAGCTGTGGTGTGCTTGTTATTTGTTGACTTGCTCTACACAGAGGTACCTGCCACAGTTCTCAGAAAAAACCTGGATGATTACATAAATGCGGCAAAAATCTCTTGAGAAATGTCACAGTTATGTTGGCACAAACAAAACAGTTATTGACGCAGTTAGGTCAGACTTGTTTTCAGTTTTTACACATATATACTATATACATACAACGCCAGTTGCAACCACTGGATATTTTCAGACACCACAAGAGGAGTGTCATGTGTGGTTTCAAGGTCGAGAGAATGAAATCAACACATTTTGATGTACGTCACAGTGGTGCAATAAGTTGCTATTCTTTGTCAAGTCTGAAATCGTCAAAAATTCAAATGAAGAAGGTCTGTAACTGCAATATTCACATTTTGTTATGGTTACAGAGGAATCAGCCAAGCAAACATGTACGAATTACCCAAGAAGTAACTTACTGAATGTCACATTGCCTGGTTTAGTGGTACTCAGCAGTCAGAAGTAAAAATAAATCCGAGCTTAGCTCCAGATAAGTATTTAAGTGAAATAAGAGCAGATGGCAACATTGCACTGTAACCATAACAAAGTGACGAAATCACGCAGCAAGAACATTGTCCTAATCAGAACAATCAGTGTGATAGATCATCACTGTCACTGCTGTCTGTGCAATAATGTGTCATGCGATATCAGAAAACTTTGACAAGATGGAATCATAAGTCACAAAAGAGTTTAAAGGAATAGTTCACATTTACGATAAATGTGGACTGAAGCACTATATGTCAGTTTTGTCAACTGAATCATTCATTGAAACAATCTGACTCAAAAGAACATGCCAAAAAGAGCTAGAACTTAAGATTTTCAGAGAATAGTGATTAAAGGTATATTTCACCCAAAAATGAAAACGTTTTGGAGATTTGAAGAAATTTAGCATTATGTCACTTGCTCACAGATGGATCCTCTGCAGTGAATGGGTGCTGTCAGAATGAGAGTCCAAACAGCTAATAAAAACATCACAATCATCCACAACATGACTGTAGTCCATCAATTAATGTTGAATAACAAAAAGTGTTGTATAAACAAGAAATTTTTTAACTTCAAACATTTACTTCCAGCTAAAATATGAGTCCTCTATCCATAAACGATGGACTGGAGTCATGTTGTGGAATATTGTGATGTTTTTATCAGCTGTTTGGACTATCATTCTGACAGCACCCATTCACTGCAGAGGATCCATTGGTGAGCAAGTGAAAGAAAAATTCATTAAAGTCACACAGTTTTTGAAAGCATGAGGATGAGTAAATGATGACTATATTTTAATTTCTGGGTCTACTGTCCCTTTAACTGGAGCCTACTTGATGTGCTATTTATGAGTTCACGCTTGAATGATTTATTTTTTTAATATCAGCTGAAACTTACTGACCTATGTCTTCTCTTTTTGTGTATGGCTAATCAAAGCTGTAATGATAGCGATGAATGTAAATGTGTACAGTATCTTTTTAAATAAATTTTTTTTATCTGGTCACATGTTTGTTTATTGTCTTATCAGTGTCAGTGGAGCCCTAGGAACCTTGTAAACACTCGAAGCCAAATTACTTTTACCACACCTTGTCAAAAGTCTGCGTCTCACAGACATAAACGAGTGCCGATTATTGCTCACACAATACAGTGCAATAAAGTGCACATATGCAAACAGACACTCCTTTCAGGTACAGTAAAGATAAAGCTGCTATTTATAACATAGGCGTATGTATCTATGCTTATGTGCACACGGCATGTGTGAACAAGACAGGAACTCAGTCGGATCATCTTTGTTTCCAAGGCAACAGCAAGCACCATACCACCCACGCAAGCTAGACAGCAATCCCAGAACGGGGTTTCCTCTCACAC